TTTTTTTTCCTCTTCTTGAGAAGCAGATATTTCAAGAGATAGGAACCAGTATACCTGCGTAGAGAAAGTTAAATAAAAATTCCTCATTGCCAAGAATTGAATTTGATGAATGAAGAATTCTCTTATGAATACAAAAGAATCAGCATGCACGTATCGACATCAACATTACAAGAAACATGATGAGATCCACATACCAAGAAACAAGTCCAAAGATCCTCTTTTTTGTCGATAGGACGAAGTCGAAAAATCGTCATCGATCATCATCAAGATTCAAGCATCAAGCATCATCGTCAAGATTCAAGCATCAAGCATCATCGTCAAGATTCAAGCATCAAGCATCATCATCAAGATTCAAACATCAAGCATGACGGTGTCACCATCCGCATCAACCATCACATAGGCGTTGACGGTCGCATCCACATCCACATCAACATTCACATTCCCGTTCACATTCACGTTCGCATCCACATTCACGTTCACGTTCACGTTCACGTTCGCGTTGAAGTTCAAAGCCCTATTATGAACTCCCCTCCTCCTATTACGTACATGAGGATGATCATTCCCATTAACCCGAGACGGAGCCATGGACGGGAAAGAAAAAGGCAATTGAATCACCCAAAAGCCCCTTCCAAGTAGCCCACGACGCAACTGACTGCCGTGGCCGAGATTTGCCCGATTTGGTTTGCCCAACGACACCTTGCAGCGACAAAGAGGACAAGTCTTGCTTCTCTTAAGCCAAGAAGCAATGCAGTGACGATGGAAGAAGTGGTTGCAGGGCAAGTGGTTCATCTCTTGATTCACTGCGAATTCCTCCATACAAATGGAACAACATGATCCCGAATCCAACTTCGACAGAGAACCTGTCGTCATTCTGACGATTGGGAGCGAAGGAGGGGATCGAATTGGCGAAGAACGACGAGCAACGCCATCGATGGGGATTATAGCAAGATTCGTAGTTGGGCTAGGGTTAGGGTTAGGGTTAGGGTTAGGGTTTGAGGGTGTTCGACAGAGATTCATCGGCATGATTGTTAGGGTTAGGGTTTGAAGGTTGTTCTCTCTCTCTCTCTCTCTCGTGTGTTTCTCTCTGGGTGGTGTGCTTGTCTGTTTTTGTTTTCTCTCTCAACACTCTCAAGAGTGGAGTCTATTTATATGTAGAGAGTCATCATGTAGTGGTAGAGTTGTTTTCGGATCATTCCATGCCGCCTTTATAATTTAAATCATTCTGTGCTGCCTCGCCTTCATAATCAACCTTTTTACCTATCCCCTTAATTAGATATGGATCACTTTCCGAAAAATTAATTAGATATGGATCACCGGTGCATAGAATTAATTTATTTTAAATTCTGATACACTATTTTTTTATGCTTAAAAATTTTTACATTCAAAACAACAAAATTATTCTCAATTTTTCAAGTGTCATATCTCACATTAACTCAACAGGTACATCTTTTTTTATCTATACAATTCTTTTCTCCATCTGCAGATTAAAACCTAAAGGAATAAGTAGTTAAATGTTAATAACACAAGGCGTATTTATCGAAATTAAGCAATCGTTTGCCATATATCTTTATACTATTTTAACATGTCAACGTTAAAAACTTCTAATTTCTTAAAGGGTTAATCTTAGACTGAACCCTAAAAAATCGTTTGAATCTTAATTTGCATCTCTAAAGATAAAAAATCTCAATTTATACCCTCAAATATAAAAATTTATATCAATACACACCTTATATATCTTCATGCTTGTTACTTAATCCTAAACCCCTCATATTTGAAATATTACAGCTATATTCCTTGAGAATCTAAATTTGACTAAAAATGTTCCCCCAATTGGGCATTAAAATAATTCTATTGAAGTGATATATTGCATTTGATATAAAGATGCATTTGAGAACTAAACCTTAATTAGGTATGGATCACCATTCACTAATACATAGAATTAATTGATTTTAAATCCATAACTCATATTTGATGAATTTAAATTAAGATATACTATTTTTTGATGCTATATTTATTTTTAGGGAGAATTACATTCAGACTTTCTAAGATTTGTCACTTAATCACTCAAATCTTTTGACATTTGAAATATTACACACAGACTCCTGAGATTTGTATGCATGTAACACTTAGACCCTTATTGTCAATGTTCGCTAGTATAATTGTTAGTAAATTATATTCAGACTCCCTAAAATTTGTAAACGTATAATTCTTAGACTCCTTATGTTTAAAATATTATATTTAGACCACAAAAACTCCAATCAAAGATAGAATATTTAATATTTTAAATTTTATAACCAAAATTCATATTCTATTGTATCATTTATTAAAATAAAATCAAAAATAAAAATTCAATTTTTTCTTAAAAAATCTTAATTAGTATACAAGGAGTCTATTGGAATAAAACTAAAAAAAATCAAATGAGTCTAAGTCATTCAAAAAAGAAAATAAATTTTACAACCAAAATTTATGTTCTATTGTATCATTCATTGAAATAAAATCAAAAATAAAAATCTAATTTTTTTATTAAAAAATCATAATTAGTATACAACTATACTATCTATTGAAATAAAATTAAAAAATCAAACAAGGGGCATCCCAATTGGATTGAATAGGGCAACAGCTTCTCATTCTGAATATGTAAAATCAGAATTTCGATCAAATCACACATCGCAATATACTAGGTCTTCTAATTCTTTAAGAGGTTTATCTAAAAGATTCACAATATAACTAGGAAAGTGTTTTAAATACCATACAAAGCCACGAGCTTTTCAACCGTGCAAATCGACTAGGCTTCTCAGCCTACGAGCTTTTCAGCTCGGGAAGAGAGCTGAGCTCTTCAATCGCGTAAATCAACTAGGTTTGTCATCCTACGAGTTATTCAACTCAGGAAAAGAGCTTTTCAGTTCAGAACAGCCGCGAGCTCTTCAACCATGCAAATCGACTAGGCTTTTCAATCTACGAGTTTTTCAGCTCGAAAAAGTCACAAGCTTTTCAGCTGGGCAAATGATCTCAAATAGACTTCTCGTCAGTGGTATTTAAAATTTGATAAGATAGTAAGTTCTCTTAATTTTGTTGAGAACAAGATGGATCACTGCACATATCTTAAGGTCAGTGAGAGCAAATTTATTTTTCTTATTCTTCATGTTGATGATATTTTACTTGTAAGTAATGATTTGGGTTTACTTCATAAGATTAAGTAATTGTTGTGCAAAATATTTGACATGAAAGATCTTGGGAAAGCATCTTTTGTGTTAGGCATTCAGATTCATTGGGATATGAGTCGTGGATTGTTGGGACTTTCTCAAAGGGTATATATAGATCGTGTGCTTGAAAATTTTAATATGTATAATTGTAAGTTTGAGGATGTACTAGTTGTAAAAGGTGATAAATTTAGTCTAAGTCAATGCCCCAAGAATGATTTTGAGGAGGAGTATATGAGGAATATACCTTATGCGAGTGTTATTGACAGTTTAATGTGCGCACAGATTTGTACCAGGCCTGACATTGTTTTTGCAGTTAGTGTTCTTGGAAGATATCTTTCTAAACCAGGATTAGATCATTAGTTCATAGCTAAGAAAGATATGAGATATTTGTAATGGACAAAAAATTTCATGTTTGTTTACAGGAGAGTTGATAGTATTGAGGTGATTAGTTATTCAGATTCAAATTTTACTGGGTATCAGGATGATTTAAAATACAGTTCAGGATATATTTTCATGTTAGCTGGAGGAGCAATAACATGGAAGAGTGTTAAACAAACTCTCACAGTTNCTCAACTAGGCTTGTCATCCTACGAGCTATTCAACTCAGGAAAAGAGCTTTTCAGTTTAGAACAGCCGCGAGCTCTTCAACCACGCAAATCGACTAGGCTTTTCAATCTACGAGTTTTTCAGCTCGAAAAAGTCACAAGCTTTTCAGCTAGGCAAATGATCTCAAATAGACTTCTCGTCAATGGTATTTAAAATTTGATAAGATAGTAAGTTCTCTTAATTTTGTTGAGAACAAGATGGATCACTGCACATATCTTAAGGTCAGTGAGAGCAAATTTATTTTTCTTATTCTTCATGTTGATGATATTTTACTTGTAAGTAATGATTTGGGTTTACTTCATAAGATTAAGTAATTGTTGTGCAAAATATTTGACATGAAAGATCTTGGGGAAGCATCTTTTGTGTTAGGCATTCAGATTCATTGGGATATGAGTCGTGGATTGTTGGGACTTTCTCAAAGGGTATATATAGATCGTGTGCTTGAAAATTTTAATATGTATAATTGTAAGTTTGAGGATGTACTAGTTGTAAAATGTGATAAATTTAGTCTAAGTCAATGCCCCAAGAATGATTTTGAGGAGGAGTATATGAGGAATATACCTTATGCGAGTGTTGTTAACAGTTTAATGTGCGCACAGATTTGTACCAGGCCTGACATTGTTTTTGCAGTTAGTGTTCTTGGAAGATATCTTTCTAAACCAGGATTAGATCATTAGTTCATAGCTAAGAAAGATATGAGATATTTGTAATGGACAAAAAATTTCATGTTTGTTTACAGGAGAGTTGATAGTATTGAGGTGATTAGTTATTCAGATTCAAATTTTACTGGGTATCAGGATGATTTAAAATACAGTTCAGGATATATTTTCATGTTAGCTGGAGGAGCAATAACATGGAAGAGTGTTAAACAAACTCTCACAGTTTCTTCCACAATGCAAACTAAATATGTAGCTTGTTATGGAGCTGCAACACATGCTATATGGCTAAGGAATTTTATTTTAAAATTTATGATTGTTGATTTCATCTCTAGACCACTAACAATTTATTGTGATAATAATGCAATTGTGTTCTTCTCAAAAAACAATAAACATTCTAGTAGGTTTAAACATATGAAAATTAAATATCTTTATGTTAGGGATCTTGTGAAAAAATGTGACATTGTGATTGAACATATTGAAACAGAATCAACGTTTGCTGATCCCTTAACCAAGGGACTGAAACCTGTAACTTTTAAGAAACATGTTGACATGAGCATTTTGGGGTCTTTTGATGTACTTGATTAGTGGGAGTTTATTTATATGTCAAGAACTTTAGTATTGATTGAATTCCATGTGTGATATTTGATACTCATTATGGTTGAGATACATCTATTTGATGAATAATAAATATTTAGATAATTATCCTTATTGTTAGCACGATATTATTATTTTGTTATATGTGTGCACATTTATGACATGTCATTTTATGCAAAATCTTAAGGTTTGGTGTGTGTCTTAAGTATAACTGTTTTGTTAATGAAGTATGTCTCTGATTACACTATTTAAAAAAATCTTGAGATTTGAAGTTTGGGACATACTAGCTTATTATTGAAGCTGATAGATTTCTCTAGCTTATTTTTGAAGCTTGTCGTTAAAGAGAATCATTTGGAGGACTGACAATGAAAATAATATGTTTATCAAATCACATATTGATATGTTATTTTCTTGTTACATTACCACATCTTGATCCATATCAATAAGATTATTATTTTTTATAATCATGGATTAGTCTTATGTCAATAATGGATATAATGCCGTCATGATTCGAAAATAGTAGTTTTATTGGACTGGGTTGTATTTGAGATGTTGTCTAAAGACCATATTTTTTGTTGTGGTCACATCGAGTTTTTTGTTTGATTAGCCCGAGAGTCTTTTTTCAAAAATATATATATATATATATATAATTTTATTTTTTTTAAATGACTACAATTAATGTTGTCCAAGTGGGAGAATGTTAGAATTTTTTTCATATTGGACTTCCATTAATTGATAGTTAATTTTTAATTTGTGAAAACGGGTTGAATTTATGGTTTAATGAGATGAGCTCAATATTATTAAGTGATCTATTTTGATGAGCTTATTTATATTTTATTTTTTTACTGATATGGTTGAGACAGTTAAGTGTAGGTCTTAATCTAATTGTGACCCGTAATGGAAGAATCCATTAGATTTCATTATAAATAGCAGGTTAGGTCATCTCTCCACTTCATAACCC